GGGTTGAGCGTGTGAATCAAATGAAATTCTAGTATTTGGTTGCTTCAATTTTTTTTTTTACTAACGACCAATTCAGTTTTTAGTTTATATTTAGGAAAAAAAAATATTTTTGTTGTTTCTTTAGTTTTTTGGGAAAATCCAATCAAATTAAAACAGATTATAGTTTTGGATTTATTTATTTTTCAAGGCTCTTACATTATCAAGGTTCTTATTCAAAAGCCAAATTTGGTTTTGAGAGTTGAGTTTAGAATCTGAGACTCTGAAATCCTCATTTTGAATTGTAGATTAGATTTCCAATTTTATATTTAAATTTTGATTTTAAATTTAATTTTCACACATGGAATGATGAAATCTCGAATCTAGGTTTTTAAAAATTTTGTTTTGGCCTAATCAAATTGAAAATTGGTTTAGCTCTTGTCTGGATTTCAGTTGTGCTGTATATTGATTGATAGAATTGAAACCGATTCATTTATTTGGTTTATTTAGCTGAGCTGATAGAATACACACTCTTAACCAATCCAACATGTTGATCTCTTTTATCAATCTAATTAAAATACATGCATACATACGTTCATGCACTTGATCTATTGCCAATTACATGTATTCTCTTTTACTCGATGATGGCATAATTGTACCAAAAACATGATTTGATTTTATTGGTCTAGTTGTGAAATGACTTGATTCAAGGTTTTATGTTTGAATCATTAGTTCAATCTCGTCGTAAGAAGTGTATAAACTTGGTGAAACGAAATAAGCAAAATTTTATCAGTTTGCTTTATGCCCAATTAGATTCTTTGTCAATCTAATTAAGAAATAATGATTACCGAAATCTCAATTTTATCATACAAACTAGTTAACGTGCTTTGAGGTTGAAGGCCATATTTTAAGCTGATCTCTATTTAAAGTATCTCAATGTTATCGGGTTGAGCGTGTGAATCAAATGAAATTCTAGTATTTGGTTGCTTCAATTTTTTTTTTTACTAACGACCAATTCAGTTTTTAGTTTATATTTAGGAAAAAAAAATATTTTTGTTGTTTCTTTAGTTTTTTGGGAAAATCCAATCAAATTAAAACAGATTATAGTTTTGGATTTATTTATTTTTCAAGGCTCTTACACAAAAGCCAAATTTGGTTTTGAGAGTTGAGTTTAGAAGCTTACTAGTCTGAAATCCTCATTTTGAATTGTACATTAGATTTCCAATTTTATATTTAAATTGTGATTCTAAATTTATTTTTCACTCATGAAAAGATGAAATTTCGAATCTGGGTTTTGAAAATTGATTAAGTTCTTACCAGGATTTAAGTTGATTGGTAGAATTAAGACCGATTAATTGAGTTGGTCTATTTTACTGAGCTGATAGAACACATTCATACATGCATTCAAACTATTTAGTATTCAATATCAAGCATCTTGGTCAACCTAGGTCAAATTCTACTAGCTGTTATAGTTTTTTTTTTTCTTTCTCAATTTGTTGGCTGAGTTCCTTCATTTAACTGTTTCTTCTTGATGGAATCCTTATGTAGGCTTAAGGTAAAGGAAAAAATGAAGTATGAATTTTCAAAACAAATTATTCATCTACTAAATTTACTGTCGTACTCTGTCACAGTAGAGGGATCCCTATTTGGGATTAGCTCAATTTTTACCAAATTTAGATTTTCAAGGCAACATGCAATTTTTTTGTTCCATTTATTTTTTTGTTTGCTCACATAATATTGGCCCTTGTGCATCTTATCATTTAATCATGCATAATTTATATTAGAAGATTCACTTGAAATAGCTACTAGAATCTCGCAAATTTTGTAATTTATTTACAGAGGGAAAAAATGTGCCCCTTTTGTTCGAGAGGGTGATGGAAAGCTCATACAAATTACATCGGCTTTTAAGAGTTAGTTTGATTTAATGATATGAAAAATTATCATGCCAACAATCTATATGTTCAGCCATTTAAATTAATAACACATAAAATTAAATATGTTCTTTTTTTAATTAGACTTGGAAAAGCTTATGATCAATTATTATATGAATTTATTGATGAGTATTTTAGACAAATCATATGGCATAAGTACAGTGAGGTTATTGATCTATATATGAGGGATCAGTGATTAAAATGTGTAGTTGTGGTGTGACAAAAGATATTTCAATCATAATAAGATTATGTCAATGATAATATTAGTCATTAGTTTTAAGTGTTCGTTGTAAAGATGTTGGCACAAAATGTTAGAAGCGAGGTACCATATTATATGCTATTTGTATATGATTTAGTCTTGATTTATGAGGTCTCTTTTGAAATAACTGTGAATTTGATATAATGAAATTTATTTTTAGACTATTAGGATTTTAGGATTAGCAGATGAAAGATCGAGTATATGATATGAGTATTTAGTTGTAAAATTTAATTTTTGATAATATCCTTAGAAGATAAGGAGATATTATGAACAATAGATTGAAATGAGTCTACAAAGATGCACCAACAAGATTAACTAACATAATGTGAAAGAATTAGCAATGAATACAGAGACCAATGGTAGTAGCTATTTTTGGTTAAATGGAGTTAACAACTCATGTAACACTCAATAGAAAAGATAGATGAGAAGGATTCATGATAACCCACCCTAATAGTTGTCATAACTCATAAGTTTAATGGTGTTCTTGATGATGGCAATATATCCAATGCTTATATACTGGGCTGCAGATGAATCGAGCTTAAGCTCTCGTTAGTTTGAATCTTGTTCAAGCTTTACTTGTGCTCGATTCGAGTTTCAAGAACAGTGTTCTAGCTTGGCTTAATTTTAAAAATGATGTTTGAGCTGAAGCTCAATTTGAGGTCGATTCTTTTAGGGTTCATTGAGCTTATAAACGAGCCGCTCGTTTAATAAGACAAACAAGCCTTAACCGGGCCTACTATCGAACTAGTTCATGAGTTTTAAATGATAATATTCACAATATTAATCAAGTTACTTGTTATCTAACCAAATTATCTTTTTCAATCTTATAAAGCTCATTTGGTTAAACAAGCTTCTTATCTAGCCTTAACAAGCTTACAAACAAGGAGTTTGTTGAGCTCCATAAAAATGTGCTTTTATGTTTTAAACGACAAACTAGTGAACGAACTTGATCATATAATTAAAGATTAATTTTAATATGACTATATTAAACTTTATAAAAATTGTAAGTAAAAATTTATGAAATAAATTTTCTTTAAGTCTAGCTTCACTCAAGCTTTCACTACCATTAAATGATCTCACTAATGAGCGCTAAATTGAGCTTTAATCGAGATTGTTCACAAGCATTTATTCAAGCTTCAATCAAGCGTGCTTGGGGAGCTTTTCATGATATTGTTCATGAACATAAATGAGCCAAACAAGGACCTGTTCAAGCTTGTTTATTTAACTATATAGTATTCATAGAAGTGGTCAAGCTTGTTTGGTAATTTAATCAAATAAATATAAACGAGCTCTTATCAAACCGAGCCACATGTAGCTTTTCGAACGCTCGGTTCGTGTGCAAGCCTATTATATTACATGTATTGAATTGCTGGGAACATCAACCCGATACTCCTAGGATGACCACGTTATCTAAAAGATGGCTCCTCTGATTACTTAAGAGAACTAGGAGTTCATTTTATTCTGAGCTTAATACCTCAGAATCTGTGAAGAGTTCACCCATCAACGTTGACACTACATAAAGGTTTTAAGAACCAAATTTTAAAGTACTTCTACATGTCTCAAGGGAAGCGAATTGGTCCCTGTTGATTTATCATATTCTTAATAGTTTCAATGGGGCAATGATCGACCAATAGATGCTTCTTGAAACAGTAAATATGTAAAAATATGGTCTTTTGTACTTTTAATTATTTGCTCAATGAAATCATCAAAAGCTGGCTTGGCTTATGTGGATGACAAATGCGATTCATCTCATTTATATATTTTGAGAGAATGCATGATGCCTTTTCAATTTTCCTTTGAAAATTTGTTCAGTTATCATAATGTGACTTGCTTGTCATCCAGATCAAAATACTTGCAAACTTCTTCCTCCATGTTGAAACTTTATTAGAAAGTATACTTGTATGATAAATATGCACTTTATGCCCCCCGGCCTTGGTTGGATCTTGAGTACTCGGTCAACTGTTTTTTTCTCAATATTTAATTTATGAAGTTTCCATGATATATTGAAATGAAATACCTTAAGTTGTCAATTTTTGTGTTAATCCATTTTTTTTTTTTGCATGTCATAATTTTGTTTCTCGAAGAGGTTTAAAAGGTATAACATAGTTTATTTTGTTTTTATGAAAAAAAGTGTGATGGCTATTTTTGGTTCAACACAAATTAATTTCTCGGTTATTTTTGGGGCTGATGTTATCCTTATTAAGATTGTTGAATTTATTAGCTTGAATTATCTTTTTATATAATTTAAAGCTCAAATTATTTTGGAATATATTTAGCTTTGGAATAGGGCTGTCAAGCGGGCTGGGTTGACTGTAACTACGTGGAGCGTAGCCTCCGAAAGCCCTAATGGGTAAGGTCTTAAATGGGTGGAATCACTTATCATCGAACTTCTCAAAATTAACATATAACATAAGAATAAATATAAAATGCTCTTGCTTGACAAATTACTTGAAATGTAATTAATTTTGAGTTGTATCAAATTTTTATTGAGAACATCTTAAGTCCAAAAATAATTCAAAATAGTTTGAGTTCATGATTTGGTTTTTTTAAAATTGATTTTGATTGGACTAAAATTATTTAGTGCATTTCTATTTTAGTATTAATCAAATTATATTATATTATAATTTAGACGTTAATATTATCTTGATTAAATGTGATAAGAATTGTCAATCTCTTCTCTCCAGTACAAATTTTAGGTCAATGTGATTTAGACATCTCTCTCTCTCTCATCAAATGTTTGAATCAAGGAAGCATGCTGATAACAACTCTATTTTTATTTTAATTGAGACTAATTATACCTCAGTTATTAATGTTTTTCTTTATTTTCTTCATAGTTTGAGAACAACTTTGTGCGTTCGCTTTAAGAGTGAAGTCGTAGCTTGCGGGGTAGTATACGCTGCAGCACGTAGGTTCCAGGTTCCTCTCCCGGAAAATCCACCTTGGTGGCTTGTATTCGATGCCGATCAATCTGGAATTCAGGAAGTTTGTAGAGTGCTCGCTCATCTCTACAGTCTCCCCAAGGCAAAATATGTCCCAGTGTATAAAGATATCGATTCTTTTACATCAATTAGCCGAGTGCCAAACTCACAATCTCATGTTTCCAAGGTGGTAAATTCTATTACACTAATTTTCTCCTAAGTTTTATTTTTTTAGGAAGATTTACATGCATACCTCCTGATTTTTATGTATCTACATATCTAACACCTGAACTTCAAGTTTTACATATTTCCACCCTACCCATTCTTGAAAAGATGTATTCTTTTCAAAATTAAAATTAGTAGTATTTTTGCTGTGATATAAAAGATTGTTGTGGTATGAATGTAAAAATCAAAGTTTAGGTGTTAGATATGTGCATACATAAAAAAGGGGTGGTATGCATGTAAATGCACCTTTCTCAGCTATTATTTATTTATTTAATTTTAAAATAACTTTATTGCACTGTACATTGCTTGATGTTCTTCTGTTTAGGAAAACTCTTTTAACGGTAATGCTAATGACTCTAGCCCTCCTAAGTCAGTAAATAGTCAGGATGGTAGCTGCTTTAAAGATTCAATAATAAAAGCAGCTCTAGATAAGTTGAAAGAATCCAAGAAGAGCGATGAGGATGGTAAAACAGTGCCTGATACTAAAGAGGAGGAGACTGAAAGTTTAAGGAGTGAGCTTAAATCGGATCGTAATGGGGAGAAGAATCGTGAAAGAGATCGAGAAAGGTTGAGAGCGAGAGAACGGGATCGTGACAGCAGGGGTAGGGACTCAGATCGTGAGAGTAGGGGCAGGGACTCGGACCGGGAGAAGGAGAGGAGTCATCGCTCTAAAGACAAAAGCTCAGGTGTGTCATTTTTTTTATTGGGGCATTTACATACATACCGCAAAATTCTAATGTATTTATTTAGATATCTAACTCCTGAACATTGATATTTACATACATATTGCTCAAATTTTTAACATCACATTAAAAATATCACCGTCAATATTTTTTTTAAAAGTGGAATACACCTTTTCATGCATTGGTGTATAACACCAAGGTGTTGTAGGTGTAAATATCAAGCTTTTTGGGTGTTAGATATACAGGTACATACGAATTGTGTGGTGTGTATGTAAATTTCCCTTATTTTATTTTCATGACAATATGTTGTGGTCTGTAGCTTATGTTGCTTATTGTTTCTCTTCTTAATTGCAGGGAATTCAGATAAACCAAGGCATCATTCGTCCCGCGGTATGCCCTGTTTATATTCTGGTTGAATTTATGGAGCAAATGATCAAAACGGTTCTTAGATTTTTAAATGTGTTCATTTTAGTCTCAAAATTTTTTAGGTGTTCAATTTTGCCCCTTAATTCATCAAATTTGAACCAACTTGACTATACTGTCAGATTCATCATTAGTATTTTAGATTTTTTAGGGTCAATCTCACTAACTGAAGCTAAGTGGGATTGATCTTTAAAACTTTACAAGGCCCTCATGAAAAGCTCTCCTCAATTAATTTTTCTCTAGAAAACTCCAGTTGACAGTAGAACAAAATTGTTTAAGATTTGTTGAGTTGTGAAATGCTCGAATAAAGTAAATACCTAAAAAGAAATCCTGGGACTATTTTGGTTATTTAAGCTATTTATATATTATCTTTAAGAATTTACTGATTTTATTTTTATATAATTTGAATTTTTCCTTCCTTCTAATCAGATAGAAGTGAGTATCACAGTTCGCACTCCTCCAGAGACAAGGATCGTCACAGGCATCATAGTACATACTCCTGAAGTTGAAGTTTTGCTCCACTTGAAGGCTTCTGTATTATTAGAATTTGGCAGCTATAAAGGTACAAATATCTATGTTTACCGCATCAAAATTCACAAATTATATACCTTAGAAGAGTGGTAGAGATAATTAATCATTAGGAATTTTTAGCTAGTTTTACTCCTGCTTGTGCTGTAGGTGAGTTGCTCCATAATATTATGTTTATGTATAAATATTCATACTGTTGTAGTTTTTTTTAATTTCATATTATGTTTATGTATAAATATTCATACTATTGTAGTTTTTTTAAATTTCATATTAAATCCATGTTGTGAACTCTCTTGTTTTACATGTCTTCTATTCAGCAAGATTACTGGAGCCTTTTTTTTCTGGGGCAATGACATACATACCACACAGTTCTTATGTATTTACATGGCTAACACCGAAACTTTCATATTTATATGTATTCCATTCAATTCTTAAAACATAACATAAAAAAGAACACATCTACACATCGAAAATCTGATCACACGAATTTCGAGAAAATTCAACGGATCACACAAAGAAAATACCAAATGACCACATCATCATAGTAAAAGGCCGAGCCAACGAGGATCACTTCGTTCAGTCGGATAATGGGCCGACTGAAGGAAATTAAAATGGTACTAACACTTTGCATCTGCATTGGGGAATGAACATATGAAACTGACTTCCTCGACCGATTATGGGCCATTGAAATTTTTCCTTCCTTCTAATCTGCCTGTTGGAATAAATCTTCATTAAGGATAAGAAGGTCTCCACAATGGGTTCACTCAGGAAAGCTGTTCAAAGAGCTCTCGACCAACCGAGGGAATTTCAGCCTACCGAATGACGATCAACTGACTAGGTTGTACAGTTACAAATACAAAGCGGTGCCAACAATAATTTTGAATACGAAGCGGTGCGAACGATGGTGATCAAGACCAAAAGATCCAAAAATCAGTTACAAATAGGTAAACGTGTAATGGTTAATAAATCACATGTAACGTTCCTATTTAATTAGAGACAAAACATGTTATTTACCAGGCTTTCTCTACGAGCTATACATTGAGAGGTCATTTCTTTAAGAAAGGCTAATGAATCTATTCCAAGAGAAACTCTACTGTTGTGCACTCTCTCTAATTTTTTTTTTCTCTATTCCTCTCATCCGTTGAACGCTCTATCCCTTGGCATGACCCAAAGGATGTTTTGGGATTAAAAAACATCACTATTTTTTTAAAAGTAAAATGCATTATATGCCTAAATTTATGACAAGGTGTTATAAATTTAGCTGTGTAAACATCAAACTTTAGGTATTAGATATGTAAATACATGATTGTTGTGCGGGATGAATGTGAATTCTCCCCTTTTTTTTTGGAAGATTTACATACATACCACTCATATCACACTCTTTTTTTCTTTTTGCAATTTCAGTTGTATTCTGTATTTGCTCTCACGCACTTTGTAACTTTGTATTAACTCAGCCCGCTGCCTTTTTTTCCCATTTAGAGTTGCAGAAAAAAAGAGAAGTGTCACAGAAAAGGGAAAAATCTAAACCTAAATTTTGTTATAATGGTTTTTATTTGGCACTTGAGCATGATATATATCCCATCAATTCATTTTGATATTATATGTGTTTTAAATTAAGTTTAATGAATATAAAATCATCTTGATAACCCTAAACTTTCCCTGCCCCTATATTTTATGTGTTTTGTCTTCATACCACATTTTTATTGTAGGTTATGTACTAGAGAGGTTATGCAGCTTTATTTAATGTTTTACATATCATGTGTTGAGTGGTTTATATTAATTTAGAATGAATGTTTGATGGTTGATATTAATGACATGACATTTGAATTCCTAATGGAAAATTCGGTTGTTTTTTGAGATTTTAAAATAGGAAGGAGAAGCATTTAGTTGAAATGTATACTAAAGATTTAATATTAAATATAGTTATTGGATGATTTATTAGTAAAAGTTTTAATGTTATATATGTTTCAAAAATAGTACAACAACAATGACAATAACAAGCCTTTTATACTACCATTATTCCATTAAGTGGGGTCGGCCGTCTTGTCCACATGAAGGACATTATTAGCGAAAAACGCACACATCAAGAATTCATACGTAGGTTCTCCTTAATATTTTTTGATCAACTCTCAATTGAATGTATAGCTTTCATGGTAGGCTTGTTCGACATGAATTCAAACTGATTTTGATAAATTTTTGTATCAGGTAACAACCTATGTTCAATTACCCTCTCATAACTTCAATGTATGACACATTAAAACTTAATATTTCTATAATTTACAGCCTCTCATGCATCCCAAATAAGATTTAATAGACTATTTCTCTATTCACCAAACATCTTTTTAGTTTTTAAATTAATATTAAAAATTTTACGAAGCCAATAAATTCTTTGAGCTCTTGAATATTATCACACTTCTGTTACAATACCATCAAGTCTTACTATTTTTTTTACATTTCATATTCTTCAAAATTAGTGTAAAAAAATATATTATAATTTGTTTTCAACTTTATTTTATTATTTGTTTATGTTTTAAATATATGATATGTTTAAATATGTTATGATAATTTGAACAACATCAACTGGGTTGTAGTTCTAACCAAGCAGACATGTCCATGAATGTGAATGTTGAGAGCACCTTGTACATGCACATAAATGTGCGAAATGGAAACCAGAAAAACTTTGATCTCCTTAATGAACTATAAATGATTTCAAAAAGCTCATCCAACACATGAAATTGGTTTGAACAATTTATTAAAAGTTAAGGTTGAAAGCATGCCACAAGTTGGTACCATTGTGCTATTACAATCATTTGCTGTTTGGTGCAACAAAGTACTTCTTATACTTAAATAAAGGAACAATTTATTCTACAATTTTAATTCAAAGATTGTTAGTTCATTAAGGAGGTTCGCGTTCAATATTGGCAAAATTGATAAGTTTAGCACCACCAGCGCCAATAGCAATTGGTCCGCCACATACTCCATCAACATGAAGAGAAGCTAAATAGTTCAAAGGCAAGAGATAACGAAAACCTTCACTTCAAGGTTGATGGAAAGTTAGAGCTGCTTGTTATGATGTCATCAAAACTGAAGCAATTGGCAATTTCTTTTTAAGTTAATAGATAAATTTTACATTTTATGACTATCCATAAGAAAATAAAAATGCAATTGTTGATTTGAAGTTATCCTCAAACACTTTAATTCGCTGGAATTCATAATTTAAAAACCATAACGTAATAGACATGCCAAGTTAAAACGAATGTTAAAAGCTCAATCCTACCACATTACAACAATGACGACGACGACGACGAGCCTTTATCCCACTAAGTGGAGTCGGCTACATAAATCCTTTTTTTTTGTCCTATTGAGTGTCATATTTTAATTTAATTCTAATAAATTAAGATCATTTTGTATACAACATGCCCAAGTAATGGTAATTTGTTCTTGACCGCAATGAATAATTGGTCCTTGTAAAGTTGGACGTGTAGAATCCTTTCTGCACCTTCGAGCATGGTTGGAGCATAGCCCATAACTTAGCTACCGAAACAACAAGTACTCGGTCCCATAAGTCATAAACTTAAGGGCTATGCTCAATAAAATTAAGAGAAGCAGCAATCGAGCACGAAGTAAAGATAACTAATTATATTCAGCACAGGAGTAAATGAGATAGGTCATTAATGTTTAACTCTTCAAAGAGCGATTATTAAATCAAGAACACTAGGAAGGGGATCCATTGAGGAAGATATTGATGCCACACTAGGATTAGGGGAGCGAGGTTTTCTCTAGTAAATATTAGTGATAGGTGGTTTGGGTTGACGCATTGGAGATGGAGCTAGATCAGGATCTAAGCTTATGATGTGATGAGTTAACAAATCATCGGAATATGGTGAAGATTTAGACACTGATGAATTGCTAAAGAATGAGATCTGTTCATGAAATGTGACTTCAACAGAATAATCTGTTTAAGAGGGGAAAAACATCAATACAATTTTTTTCAGACGAGAATATATTACAAACCTTAATGACTTAGGATCAAGTTTGAACACTTGTGGGCAAGTACCACGGACAAAAGCAAGTACACCGAAACATATGTAGTTCAATTAAAAAAGAGAGTTGGTTGAAAATAAAACTTGATAGAGTGTTTGATTCTGTAAAACAGTAGAAGACATCCGATAGATCAAAAAACATATAGTAGAATTTGTATTAGCCCGGAATTGTTTAGGCGCATTTATTTGAAACAAAAGAGTCCTAGCTGTCTCAAGAAGATGTATATTTTTCCTTTCAACTACTCCAGTTTGTGATGGGTAATCGACACACGATGAATGGTGAAGCATCTCTTTTTAAGCCATGTACTTCTGAAGGGGTGTAAAAAAATATTATTTGGCATTATCACTTCTCAGAATCTTAACTAAATTATTAAATTAAGATTTAACTTTGGCGCAAAAGGATTGAAAATGTGATAATACATTAATACGGGATTTCATAAAGTAAAGTCTAGTCGTACGAGATAAATCATCCAAAAAAATGACAAAGAATCAAAATTAATTAGACAAAATGAGACAATGCCTCCACACATCAAAATGATGCAACTCAAAACTATGAATGGCTCTTTTAATAACTCTAGGAACAGAATACAAACGATGGTATTTGGCAAATTGACACAACTCACAAGCTAAAGATAATAATTGTTGAAACAGGAGGTACAATTCTTTCAACATTGATAAAAATGGGTGTCTTAATAGTTAATGAATCTCAAAATAAGATAAGGTATTGGAACGGGTTGCTGGTCAAAGAACTTCATTATCCATAATATATAATCTCCTTGATTCTCGCCCTTTAATAAAAATGTTCTGTCATAAGGTCCTAAAATTGACAATCATCGGGAAATAATAAGATATAATAATTAAAATCACGTGTAATTTTGTTAGCAGGAATAAGATTAAAAGCAAAATGACGTAAATTAAAAATAGAAGTTCGAGGCAATATGAGTGTAATATTGATGTTGACAGAACTGAGAACACTGAAGGTGGATTCATCAGCTAAGGTAATAGAACATAGGTGTTTATGAAAGGTAGAAAAGTGTTATGGATTATCTGTCATGAGAACTGTAACAATAGAAGCAATGATTCCTTGTATGGAAAATGAAAAAAGATAAGTGTGATTCTTACCCAACTCGGCAAGAGCAGTCATGGATGGATATTCCTTGGATACTTCCTCAAATTTGATGAACTTGGTATATTCATCTGCAAAGATCGAGAGTTTAACTCGGAGAGGCCTCAGTGGCAGTGACAATGTGAGTAGATTGTGATTTAAAACCCTTTTAATTCTTTTTGAGCAACTTTTGATATGTTCTTCTTGTATGACCAGGTTAGTGACAGTAATAGCACACTACTTTTGACCCTTGATTTTATGAATTTGTTGATTTCAAGAATTTGGAGTTTCACTCCAATAATTGTCTTGAGAATGAGATTTAATGATGTTTTTATTTTTATAACTAGCAAAGGCACTAGATTGTTGTATGAATGAGGCTCGAGAACCCAAGATCATACAAAAAATTAAACTATAGGCTTCGCTCAAAGTCGTATATCTAGGGTCAGATAAAATGTGTGATTTGACACCTTTAGACTGAGAGTTTAGGACAACTAGAAAACTCATGATAGTCATTTACTCTCTTTAAGACTTTTAAAAACGAAAATATATGCTAGAGGGCAATAGTGCGTTCAATTCTTCATGCATATATTTAAAGTGCATGTGATGTGTGTTAAGTGACAGATCATATTATTCAGCACAATAGAATTCCTTACATACATCAAATGTTCAAGACATATTTTCTCTCCCAGAAAACACAAACACCAATTCCTTCGTCGCATCTTTAACACAGTTGCAATGAGTAATATGACTGAATTGATGAGATTCAATGAAATTTCGTAGTTGTATCGAAAGCTGAGCATCCACTCAAAATAGTTTGACTCGGTCTCAACTAGAGGATTATTAGTGAGGCAACTCTCTTAAAAGATACTCCTTAAATAGAATCTCACAGTTTTATTTCAATATAAATAATTGATGTCATTTATGCGATCTTAGAAACTGATGAAACCAACCAATGACAAAATGTTTGTGTTCACAAGATAGAATAAATATCATTCACTATTGAAGGACGAATTGACAAATAACTCCAAGAACAAGCAGACAACGAAACACAACAACCAAGGAAATAGATCTAAGTAAAAGTCGACAAATCCAAAAATGCACAGATAACTTGAAGAACAAGCAGACAACAAAGGACAACAACTGAGGAAATAGACCTAAGCAGGCGTCAGTGAAGCCATAACGAGCCTAAGCAGAAGACGAATGATGACGTTGCAAACGAATTGCTTCCAGTCGAAGTCGTCAATGACAAAGAAGACGCAGAAGAAGAAGGTGATGACAATGAATTCATAGACCAAGCTTTGAAAAAAACCCTAATCCCTTCGCAGGAAGAGGAGGTTTCGATCGATTTGTTACTCAAAAAACATTAAATCTTGAGTGACAAAAACCAAAAAAACATTAAGTCCGAGCTAGATACCTGAGTGATTTGTTACTCAAATACTATATGAATGAATTTCTACACCCACTTAATATAGTCTTTTCAATGAAAGTAGAATTACCAAAATAAAAATTACCTAAATGAACCCTCTTGGATTTCATTCTTCTTGTACTCTTCGCTCTCCATTCTCACATGAATCTCTTCGGTTTCCGTCTGCCTGGACTTAGATTACATCTTGGTAGAGAGAATTCACTACTTTACTTCGACTCGCGAGCATGAACAAAAAACCTTAAGCTTTTCTGATTCAAGAAAGCAATCGAAAACCCTAAACTATTGCTGAATGAAGGTGCTTTGTGCTCGGATGATGTTTAGCTTTTCAAAATGATGATATGATGTTTTGGTGAGATGCACGATTTAATTTTTAGGTGTTTGAGCCGGACTGAGCAGGGCCATACTAAAAAAATAGAAATTTAATTTTTTTTACTGAGGACCAAATTTCCGCGTCTATCGCGAAAACGTTCGGATTCGGCCCCCTCTTCCTCTTTCGAGGCTTCTCCTCTCAAAATCGCGAAAGGCTTGGCTGCGAGAGCTTAGGGATTGTTGTTTGTGTTCGTTCTCTTATCTCTACTTCTATATGATTCAATACAGTCTCTTTGTTCTCGGCGAGTCGGCGTTGGCTCGACTGCTGGGTATTCTTGCTTGGTCGCTTGATAGCAAACAGGGGTTGGCTCGACTGCTCGGTACTATCCTGCTACCGACAGCCGCTTACCTGATTCAGCCACCACAGAACTACCTGGTTTCATTTCTGCATTGATTTCCTTTTGATTGGAGCAAAGTTCTTCCCCTTTCTTCCTGTTGGTTTCAGCAGCAATAGGATATTTGGTTTGGTCAGATCCGTCTATTCTTTCGTAATGATCAATACTGCAATCGATAACTTCTACCTCACTGATGAAGATCTGAAAAATTCTCCTTCGAGGAAAGATGACATTCAAGAGGACACGGAGATAATGTTACGCATCTACGGGTGCGATCTCATTCAGGAGAGCGGCATTCTTCTCAGATTGTATCCTTTTTTATCTGATTTAATTCTACTCTTCCTGTTTGATTTATTTTTTAGGTTGATTCTACAACTCGATTTTTGATTACTATGTTTGCGAGTTCTTGACTCCGATAGACCTCAAGCAGTCATGGCCACAGGGCAGGTCCTTTTCCACCGGTTCTACTGCAAAAAGTCTTTTGCGCGCTTCAGTGTGAAGGTATGGCTATGTGTTTTTCAATGGAAAGAATATATGAGGTTTTGGATTCTATCCATTGATGTGTCACTGTTCCTAATTTTGATTATGTAGAGGGTAGCAGCTAGCTGTGTTTGGTTGGCTTCGAAGCTCGAAGAGAGCCCTAGAAAAGCAAAGTATATTCTTATGGTCTTTCACCGGATGGAGTGTAGAAGAGAGGGTTTACCGATAGAGCATCTTGATGTCATGTCCAAGGTTGGTGTTTCTGTTTTGTTAAATGGGATTTGGTTCGCATTGACTGTATCTCATTTCACAATTATCTTTTTAGGCATTTACATGACTTTGCCAGATGCTACCATGGAGAAATAAATTAATGTAATCGTAGTTTGTTTTTCTGATGCATTACTTGTGTGTCGTTATAATTGCTGGCCTTGTTCTCTACCATGATCACAGAAATACTCAGACTTGAAGAACGATTTAATTAGAACGGAGAGACATTTGCTGAAGGAGATGGGTTTTATCTGCCATGTAGAACATCCTCACAAGTTCATATCCAATTACCTAGCAACACTTGGAGCTCCTCTTGAACTTAGGCAGGAAGCTTGGAACCTTGCAAATGATAGGTATATTTAATTTATTTCGCTCAAATATATATATATATATATAAATGACCTCATAAATTTTGAATGTTTAATTTATTTGAATAATTAAACACAACATATAAAATAATACATTATATCGAAAGACAGATATAATTTTACGATGGATTTTATTACTCCGATAACTAATTTAATGTTTGATGTGTCCGCGTTTTAATCCAACAATTTTTCCTCATATCTAATCCGAAAACTAAAAATGTTTTAGATTAATCAGGTTACTAACTTCCTATAAGGGAACACCCCTATAACTAATTACTTCTTAAGAAATAAAATATCTTAAAAAATATTGATTAAAATTGAGATTATGTTTTCCAGTATTTCAAAGTTTGATTTTCAAGATTGTTTATAATAATTTGATGATGCATGTATAGAAAATAAATTTGTATAGGTCAAATTGGTATGAGATATACTCAGTCTATAACTTGTGATTCTCACATGCTAAATTACAAATTTTCATGAATGGGTGAGGGCCTGAAGACATGGAGTAGAATTAATATGCATGTATTCACCTAAGGGTGATTTTTTCGTATCTATTCTAACTCTAAGGGTTACTAGTTATTTTATTTATTTTATTTATATCAATGATTTTGCTAAGATGTGAATGTAATATTTTTGTTAATTTTGTTATTTTTTTTATGAATTTTGATTTTTATACAATTAAAATTGAGTTGTGTAAATTGTGATGGAAAAATTAGTCTTTAAAAAACCTAACGAAACATTTCAGATTAAAGACAAAACACCGCCAATGAACCTAGAACAATAGAAAAAATCCAAGCGGACGTACGATAAAGTAACACGCATGTACAAAAATAAAAAAAATTCATTTTATTAAAAATAAAAGGGTCACAAGTCCTCGACATACAACATATACTAGTTGATTGATTAGGTTATTTAAACATCTTTTTGTTCATGCATTAATGTTTTGAAGTTCATTGTTATTGTTCATCCTTACTATTGTTTATTTAGTTGCTCTTCATCCTTTTAGAGAATCCATATATTCGTAGTCGACCAACTTGAACAAATATTCTGACTATGCCAAACTCAACAATATGGTAAATCTAGGTTTACTATGACATCTACGAATACTAGACGACATACAGAAAAGAGTTAATACATTTTAGACTTACAACAACAGCAGTAAAACAGAGTTAACAGATAGTATATAAAAAAAAAATACACAGTGCAGAAAAATACTAGTTAATTAAACTAATGTTTAGAGTAACAAAGAAAATGTTCCCGTAACTTTCCATTTCTAATGAACAAACATAACAATTACTTTCAAATAAACTCAGTTAGAGATAATACAATTACTACTATATCAATTATCAATAAAATTATGGCTAAATCAAGAAGAGTTCCTTAGAAGCAGAAGCAATATAAAATTTGGAAACTTTTTACCTTATCGTATGAGCTGATTTTGAGTAGGCTTTTGGACTGATGGAGATTATGACTATATTGTGTAAGTTTTTCAAACACATTGTAAGGAGTTATTACATACATGCCACCCAATTCTAAGGGCTTCTTAACATATATAATACCTAACTTATAATATTGACATTCATACCATTCAAATTTTATATCATATCAAAGAATATACAATCATTCTTAATTTTAAATGATGAAATATGTATTTCAACAATGTGACATGTATATAAAAAATGAAAATTTAGGTATTAAGTATATAAATATATAAGAAAAAAAAATCTATAACTTTAAGTTTATGTGTTAATATATAAAAGTATTAAATATTAGATAAATCAGTAAGTATACATTCAAAATTAAGTGTTAAATGTATAAGTATATTAATTATTTGACAAATCCGCAAGCTCATATTTTGAATCTAGGAGTTATATGTGTAAATATATGTAAGAATTGGAAAATCAGTGAACATACGTTTGTGTTTAGGATATTATATATATGCAAATATATTATAGTTTGAATGATTTATACATACATTTTCGACTTACAGTAATTATATGTATAATTACATTAAAATTTAAATAGTTCATATATTCATTTATAAAGTTTAGGTGTTATATGTGTAAATATATTAAGTTTTGAAAATCTGGATACTTATTTTGAAAGTTTATATATTAAGCGTTACAAATTTATTTACTCATTTATTTTTAGTTTAAAAATTTGGCTTTACAAATTTATATACTCATTTATTTTTAGTACATTAGAATTCAATGATAAACTTACATTTGAAATTTAAATATACATGTAAACTCATAAGGATCAAGAAAAATAGTAAAACTTTATTTGAAATTAGGTATCATACATATCAACACAAAAGAATAAAAAAAAAAAAAAACAATAAAACTATATTTTTTTTTACTAATGAACAATTCAGTTTTTAGTTTATATTTAGGAAAAAAAATATCTTTGTTGTTTCTTTAGCTTTTTGGGAAAATCCAATCAAATTAAAACAGCTTTTAGTTTTGGATTTATTTATTTTTCAAGGCTCTTACACAAAAGCCAAATTTGGTTTTGAGAGTTGAGTTTAGAAGCTTACTAGTCTGAAATCCTCATTTTGAATTGTACATTAGATTTCCAATTTTATATTTAAATTGTGATTCTAAATTTATTTTTCACTCATGAAAAGATGAAATTTCGAATCTGGGTTTTGAAAATTGATTAAGTTCTTACCAGGATTTAAGTTGATTGGTAGAATTAAGACCGATTAATTGAGTTGGTCTATTTTACTGAGCTGATAGAACACATTCATACATGCATTCAAACTATTTAGTATTCAATATCAAGCATCTTGGTCAACCTAGGACAAATTCTACTAGCTGTTATAGTTTTTTTTTTCTTTCTCAATTTATTGGCTGAGTTCCTTCATTTAAACTGTTTCTTCTTGATGGAATCCTTATGTAGGCCTACGGTAAAGGAAAAAATGAAGTATGAATTTTCAAAACGAATTATTCATCTACTAAATTTACTGTCGTACTCTGTCACAGTAGAGGGATCCCTATTTGGGATTAGCTCAATTTTTACCAAATTTAGATTTTCAAGGCAACATGCAATTTTTTTGTTTGCTCACATAATATTCCCTTGTGCATCTTAGCATTTAATCATGCATAATTTATATTAGGAGATTCACTTGAAATAGCTACTAGAATCTCACAAATTTTGTAATTTATTTACAGAGAGAAAAAAAATGTGCCCCTTTTGTTCGAGAGGGCGATGGAAAGCTCATACAAATTACATTGGATTTTAAGAGTTAGTTTGATTTAATGATATCACATAAAATTAAATATGTTCTTTTTTTAAATAGACTTGGAAAAGCTTATGATCAATTATTATAAGAATTTATTGATGAGTATTTGAGAGTTAGACAAATCATATGGCATAAGTACAGTGAGGTTATTGATCTATATATGAGGGATCAGTGATTAAAATGTGTAGTTGTGGTGTGACAAAAGATATTTCAATCATAATAAGATTATGTCAATGATAATATTAGTCATTAGTTTTAAGTGTTCGTTGTAAAGATGTTGGCACAAAATGTTAGAAGCGAGGTACCATATTATATGCTATTTGTATATGATTTAGTCTTGATTTATGAGGTCTCTTTTGAAATAACTGTGAATTTGATATAATGAAATTTATTTTTAGACTATTAGGATTTTAGGATTAGCAGATGAAAGATCGAGTATATGATATGAGTATTTAGTTGTAAAATTTAATTTTTGATAATATCCTTAGAAGATAAGGAGATATTATGAACGATAGATTGAAACGAGTCTACAAAGATGCACCAACAAGATTAACAAACATAATGTGAAAGAATTAGCAATGAATAATGACCAATGGTAGTAGCTATTTTTGGTCAAATGGAGTTAACACCTCGTGTAACACTCAATAGAAAAGATAGATGAGAAGGGTAACCGACCCTAATTGTTGTCATAACTCATAAGCCTAATGGTGTTGTTGATGATGGTAATATATTCAATGATTATATACTGGGCTGCAGATGAATCGAGCTTAAGCTCGAGCTCGTTTGTTTGAATCTTGTTCAAGCTTGACTTGCGCTCGATTCGAGTTTTAAGAACAGTGTTATAGCTTGGCTTAATTTTAAAAATGATGTTTGAGCTCAAGCTCAATTTGAGGTCGATTCTTTTAGGGTTCATTGAGCTTATAAACGAGCTGCTCGTTTAATAAGACAAACAAGCCTTAACCGGGCCTACTATCGAACTAGTTCATGAGTTTTAAATGATAATATTCACAATATTAATCAAGTTACTTGTTATCTAACCAAATTATCTTTTTCAATCTTATAAAGCTCATTTGGTTAAACAAGCTTCTTATCTAGCCTTAACAAGCTTACAAACAAGGAGTTTGTTGAGCTCCATAAAAATGTGCTTTTATGTTTTAAACGACAAACTAGTGAACGAACTTGATCATATAATTAAAGATTAATTTTAATATGACTATATTAAACTTTATAAAAATTGTAAGTAAAAATTTATGAAATAAATTTTCTTTAAGTCTAGCTTCACTCAAGCTTTCACTACCATTAAATGATCTCACTAATGAGCGCTAAATTGAGCTTTAATCGAGATTGTTCACGAGCATTTATTCAAGCTTTAATTAAGCGTGCTTGGGGAGCTTTTCATGATGTTGTTCATGAACATAAACGAGCCAAACAAGGACCTATTCAAGCTTGTTTATTTAACTATATAGTATTCATAGAAGTGTTCAAGCTTGTTTGGCAATTTAATCAAATAAATATAAACGAGCTCTTATCAAACCTAGCTGCATGTAGCTTGTGGAACGCTCGGTTTGTGTGCAAGCCTATTATATAACATGTACTGAATTGCTGGGAGCATCAACCTGATACTCCTAGGATGACCACGTTATCTAAAAGATGGCTCCTCTGATTACTTAAGAGAACTAGGAGTTCATTTTATTCTGAGCTTAATGCCTCGGAATCTGTGAAGAGGTCACCCATCAACGTTGACACTACATAAAGGCTTTAAGAACCAAATTTTAAAGTACTTCTACATGTTTCAAGGGAAGCAAATTGGTCCCTGTTGATTTATCATATTCTTAATAGTTTCAATGGAGCAATGATCGACCAATAGATGCTTCTTGAAACAGTGAATATGTAAAAATATGGTCTTTTGTACTTTTAACTATTTGCTCAATGAAATCATCAGAAGCTGGCTTGGCTTATGTGAATGACAAATGAGATTCATCTCATTTATATATTTTGAGAGAATGCATGATGCCTTTTCAATTTTCCTTTGAAAATTTGTTCAGTTATCATAATGTGACTTGCTTGTCATCCAGATCAAACTACTTGCAAACTTCTTTCTCCATGTTGAAACCTTATTCGAAAGTATACTTGTATGATATCTATGCACTTTATGCCCCTCGGCCTTGGTTGGATCTTGAGTACTCGGTCAACTGTTTTTTTCTCAATATTTAATTTATGAAGTTTCCATGATATATTGAAATGAAATACCTTAAGTTGTCAATTTTTGTGTTAATCCTTTTTTTTTGCATGCCATAATTTTGTTTCTCCAAGAGGTTTAAAAGGTATAACATAGTTTATTTTATTTTTATGAAAAAAAGTGTGATGGCTATTTTTGGTTCAACACAAATTAATTTCTCGGTTATTTTTGAAGCTGATGTTATCCTTATTAAGATTGCTGAATTTATTAGCATGAATTATCTTTTTATGTTATTTTGGAATATATTTAGTTTTGGATATAGGGCTGTCAAGCGGGCTGGGTTGACTGTAACTACGTGGAACGTAGCCTCCGAAAGCCCTAATGGGTAAGGTCTTAAATGGGTGGAATCACTTATCATCGAACTTCTCAAAATTAACATATAACATAAGAATAAATATAAAATGCTCTTGCTTGACAAATTACTTGAAATGTAATTAATTTTGAGTTGTATCAAATTTTTATTGAGAACATCTTAAGTCCAAAAATAATTCAAAATAGTTTGAGTTCATGATTTGGTTTTTTTAAAATTGATTTTGATTGGACTAAAATTATTTAGTGCATTTCTATTTTAGTATTAATCAAATTATATTATATTATAATTTAGACGTTAATATTATCTTGATTAAATGTGATAAGAATTGTCAATCTCTTCTCTCCAGTACAAATTTTAGGTCAATGTGATTTAGACATCTCTCTCTCTCTCATCAAATGTTTGAATCAAGGAAGCATGCTGATAACAACTCTATTTTTATTTTAATTGAGACTAATTATACCTCAGTTATTAATGTTTTTCTTTATTTTCTTCATAGTTTGAGAACAACTTTGTGCGTTCGCTTTAAGAGTGAAGTCGTAGCTTGCGGGGTAGTATACGCTGCAGCACGTAGGTTCCAGGTTCCTCTCCCGGAAAATCCACCTTGGTGGCTTGTATTCGATGCCGATCAATCTGGAATTCAGGAAGTTTGTAGAGTGCTCGCTCATCTCTACAGTCTCCCCAAGGCAAAATATGTCCCAGTCTATAAAGATATCGATTCTTTTACATCAATTAGCCGAGTGCCAAACTCACAATCTCATGTTTCCAAGGTGATAAATTCTATTACACTAATTTTCTCCTAAATTTTATTTTTTTTAGGAAGATTTACATGCACACCGCCTGATTTTTATGTATCTACATATCTAACACCTGAACTTCAAGTTTTACATATTTCCACCCTACCCATTCTTGAAAAGATGTATTCTTTTCAAAATTAAAATTAGTAGTATTTTTGCTGTGATATAAAAGATTGTGTTGTTATGAATGTAAAAATCAAAGTTTAGGTGTTAGATATGTGCATACATAAAAAATGGGTGGTATGCATGTAAATGCACCTTTTTCAGCTATTATTTATTTATTTATTTTTAAAATAACTTTATTGCACTGCACATTGCTTGATGTTCTTCTGTTTAGGAAAACTCTGTCAACGGTAATGCTAATGACTCTAGCCCTCCTAAGTCAGTAAATAGTCAGGATGGTAGCTGCTTTAAAGATTCAATAATAAAAGCAGCTCTAGATAAGTTGAAAGAATCCAAGAAGAGCGATGAGGATGGTAAAACAGTGCCTGATACTAAAGAGGAGGAGACTGAAAGTTTAAGGAGTGAGCTTAAATCGGATCGTAATGGGGAGAAGAATCGTGAAAGAGATCGAGAAAGGTTGAGAGCGAGAGAACGGGATCGTGACAGCAGGGGTAGGGACTCAGATCGTGAGAGTAGGGGCAGGGACTCGGACCGGGAGAAGGAGAGGAGTCATCGCTCTAAAGACAAAAGCTCAGGTGTGTCATTTTTTTATTGGGGCATTTACATACATACCACAAAATTCTGATGTATTTATTTAGATATCCAACTCCTGAACATTCAACTCCTGAACATTGATATTTACATACATATTGCTCAAATTTTTAACATCACATTAAAAATATCACCGTCAATATTTTTTTTAAAAGTGGAATACACCTTTTCATGCATTGGTGTATAACACCAAGGTGTTGTAGGTGTAAATATCAAGCTTTTTGGGTGCTAGATATACAAGTACATACGAATTGTGTGGTGTGCATGTAAATTTCCCTTATTTTATTTTCATGACAATATGTTGTGGTCTGTAGCTTATGTTGCTTATTGTTTCTCTTCTTAATTGCAGGGAATTCAGATAAACCAAGGCATCATTCGTCCCGCGGTATGCCCTGTTTATATTCTGGTTGAATTTATGGAGCAAATGATCAAAACGGTTCTTAGATTTTTAAATGTGTTCATTTTAGTCTCAAAATTTTTTAGGTGTTCAATTTTGCCCCTTAATTCATCAAATTTGAACCAACTTGACTATACTGTCAGATTCATCATTAGTATTTTAGATTTTTTAGGGTCAATCTCACTAACTGAAGCTAAGTGGGATTGATCTTTAAAACTTTACAAGGCCCTCATGAAAAGCTCTCCTCAATTAATTTTTCTCTAGAAAACTCCAGTTGACAGTAGAACAAAATTGTTTAAGATTTGTTGAGTTGTGAAATGCTCGAATAAAGTAAATACCTAAAAAGAAATCCTGGGACTATTTTGGTTTTTTAAGCAATTTATATATTATCTTTAAGAATTTACTGATTTTATTTTTATATAATTTGAATTTTTCCTTCCTTCTAATCAGATAGAAGTGAGTACCACAGTTCGCACTCCTCCAGAGACAAGGATCGTCACAGGCATCATAGTACATACTCCTGAAGTTGAAGTTATGCTCCACTTGAAGGCTTCTGTATTATTAGAATTTGGCAGCTATAAAGGTACAAATAGCTATATTTACTGCATCAAAATTCACAAATTATATACCTTAGAAGGCTGCTAGAGATAATTAATCATTAGGAATTTTTAACTAGTTCTACTCCTGCTTGTGCTTTAGGTGAGTTGCTCCATAATATTATGTTTATGTATAAATATTCATACTATTGTAGTTTTTTTTAAATTTCATATTAAATCCATGTTGTGAACTCTCTTGTTTTACATGACTTCTATTCAGCAAGATTACTGGAGCCCTTTTTTTCTGGTGCATTCACATACATACCACAAAATTCTTATGTATTTACATAGCTAACACCGAAACTTTCATATTTATATGTCTACCACTCAATTCTTAAAACATAACATAAAAAATAACACATCTACACATCGAAAATCTGATCACACGAATTTCGAGCCATCGAGGATCACTTCATTCAATTGGATAATGGGCCGACTGAAGGAAATTACAATGTTTCTAACACTTTGCATCTACTTTGGGGAATGACCGTATGAAACTGACTTCCTCAACCGATCTGGGTCATTCACATAGAAGTTCAACGGTCTCCCCGCAACACTCTTCAACTCTTTAGGAAAACCTCTTGTCCAAAGGAAGATAGACTACCCATCAGAATGGTGATGCACCATCTGCCTGTTGGAATAAATCTTCATTAAGGATAAGAAGGTCTCCACAATGGGTTCACTCAGGAAAGCTGTTCAAAGAGCTCTCGACCAACCGAGGGAATTTCAGCCTACCGAATGACGATCAACTGACTAGGTTGTACAGTTACAAATACAAAGCGGTGCCAACAATAATTATGAATACGAAGCGATGCCAACAATGGTGATCAATACCAAAAGATCCAAAAATCAGTTACAAGTAGGTAAACGTGTAATGGTTAATAAATCATATGTAACATTCCTATTTAATCAAAGACAAGTGTTTTAAATTAAGTTTAATGAATATAAAATCATCTTGATAACCCTAAACTTTCCCTGCCCCTATATTTTATGTGTTTTGTCTTCATACCACATTTTTATTGTAGGTTATGTACTAGAGAGGTTATGCAGCTTTATTTAATGTTTTACATATCATGTGTTGAGTGGTTTATATTAATTTAGAATGAATGTTTGATGGTTGATATTAATGACATGACATTTGAATTCCTAATGGAAAATTCGGTTGTTTTTTGAGATTTTAAAATAGGAAGGAGAAGCATTTAGTTGAAATGTATACTAAAGATTTAATATTAAATATAGTTATTGGATGATTTATAAGTAATAGTTTTAATGTTATATATGTTTCAAAAATCGTACAACAACAATAAAAATAACAATAACAAGCCTTTTATCCTACCATTATTCCATTAAGTGGGGTTGGCTGTCTTGTCCACATGAAGCACATCATTAGCGAAAAATGCACACATCAAGGTACATCCTCTTGTAAATGTAAGTAAGAGTATAAAGGCTTAACACCTGCTGATGTAATCTAATTGAAATAGGAAAAGACTTAGTCAATCATTTTTGTGTTCCAATATAAGTAATAACTATAGTATACATATTTTAATGAATTAAATATAAGTAATTTTTACATATTTCTTTTTTAGAACTATGCAAAGCACTCTTGGAATTTTATCATAAGTTTTTTTCAATCAACAGAATTCATACTTAAGTTCTCCTTAATATTTTTTGATCAACTCTCAATTGAATGTATAGCTTTCATGGTAGGCTTGTTCGACATGAATTCAAACTGATTTTGATAAATTTTTGTATCAGGTAACAACCTATGTTCAATTACCCTCTCATAACTTCAATGTATGACACATTAAAACTTAATATTTCTATAATTTACACCCTCTCATGCATCCCAAATAAGATTTAATAGATTATTTCTTTATTCTCTAAACATCTTTTTTAGTTTTTAAAATAATATTAAAAATTTTACTAAGCCAATAAATTCTTTGAGCTCTTGAATATTACCACACTTCTATTGCAATACCATCAAGTCTTACTATTTTTTTACATTTCATATTCTTCAAAATCAGTGTAAAATTTGATAGTATCTGCAAATCTAAATTTTTGCTTTTTATATTTTTATGAAGTAGATTTTTCATATCAAATTAAAAATATCACTGCTTAAGTATTTAAAAAGTGAATTGCATTTTTTCAAGTTTTTTATTTATGTTTTAACTATTTTCTAAAAAAAATATCTTAATCAATTATGCATACCATATTTTATTTTAAATAAAATAAAATAAAATAAATAAAAATAACTGAAAGTGAAATATTAAATTATACTAATTAAATTTTTTTTTTTTTAAAAAAACATAATAAATGAAACCAAACCAAATGAAATTGTTTTAATCGAACAATAATGCAAAACTAAATTTTAGCTGATGGAAGGGAATGCAAAAAATAATAAACAACCATTACCGTTTTGGCATGACAAATATATATTCAAATAAACCCAAAAAAGATTGAAACAAAGCCCAATTTTATTACCGTTATGTTGGTGGTGTAAGTGATGTTACTCATTGAAGTGATATTTGAGGACTCACAAAAGTGATAAATGAAATTGTTTATACTTTTAATATTAGGGCTTATTAAATTGTTATATGATGAGAGAAAAAATAAAGATATTAAAATATTGTAACACTCTATTTGTCTGGTTCCAAGCCCTAGATGTGAAAATGGAGGGTTGAGTTAGGTAATCACATGAATTTGTTAAATCCTTGTGTAAATGTTAGACTGTCATTTGAAAGGAGCATGTTATATGACTTAGATACATTGAAAAGTGTGCAAGGGCTGCTACACCGGCGCCCGAGTGTAGTGTAAAATAAATAATGGTTCTCACATCACAAACGGATGCAGGTAAAAAAAAAAAGTCTATGAAACTTATATTAGGATATGATCTTGGAATATATGTACACTTACTAGTACGTTAATAGAATTAGTTGACATTATGGTTCATATGTGGATAAATATTTTATGTATTCAAGAAACTCCATGAGTTGGAGAAAAATCTAAGGAGGTTAATAGTTTTGATTTTAAAATTTAGTATTCAGGCATGAGTCACACTAGAAATTTTTTTGATGTAATTATAGATAAAAGTTTGAAACTTAATGTGTAAAAATTAATAGAATTTAAGATAGAATTATAGGCCTAAATATTGTTATTGATACTAAGATTTTTAATGTTATAAGTGTTTATGCTTCACGAGTACGTTTAGATATAGGTTTAAAAGAAAAATTCTGGAATGACCGAGAAGAATTAATGCAAATGATACCTATTAAAGAAAAAAATTTTATAGGAGGAGATTTAAATCAACATGTTTGTAGAGTGGTAGAAGATTTTAGAAATGTTCATGGTGGTTAAGATTTTAGGGTGATTAATGAAGAAGGTAGAATCATATTAGATTTTATTTTAGTATATGATTTTATTATTGCTAATATTTTATTCAAGAAAAGAGATGAGTGTATTATTACTTATAAGAATGAATCTAATAAAACATAATTTGATTATTTTCTTATGAGAAAAAAAGATTTTGTCGACAATGTAAAGATTATATGATTATTCCAAGTTAAATTTTAAGTACTCAATAAAGATTAGTAGTTCTGAATTTTAAGATGAAGAGTTGTAAGATGAAAGATACAAGTAAAGATTATCATAAAATTAGATGAGGGTAACTAAAAGACGAAAATAAAAGTATTTTTATGAGTCAACTTCAAGATTTCAAGATTTAGGATGTTCATGAAGAAAAAAATTGTGTGATAAAGTAACAAGTACTATTAAAAAAGTTACACATAATGTACATGGAGAATTAAAAGGATTAATTTTTATAAATAAAATAGTTGATGGTAGAATAATAATGTGCAAGAAAAGAAAAAATATTAGAAGTTATGCTTGAAGCTAAAAATTCTGATTTTAGTGATCGTTATAATAAATCAGATACTAAAAAGGCTTTTATATATATCTATATATATATATATATATATATATATATATATATATTATGATAAAATTTTCAAGTTAACATTTTTTTAATAAAGTGAATGTCTTAATAACATAAATTCAAATTTAATGTGCATAATCAATAAAATTATCATGCCACGTGGGATATATGTTATCAAGTGGCAGGCGTGACAAAGTAGTCAGTTGCATTTTTACTTTGTAACGTGATTTTTTTTGCATTTATATTGCTACACACAATATTATGAACAAGCCTTCTATACGAGAAATAAATCAAAATTGTGATTAAGGAGTGAAGCAATAGTTGTAGAAAAAAATAAATAAATAAATGATAAAACAAATAAAAAATTAAGTAATAGTGCAACTATTGATGTAAAGTTAAGGATATGACATGAGTGCAAAGCTTGTAAATACAAAAGTAAAGGTGTTATATGTAACTACATATATATGACATGTGTGGAATGTATGTAAATGGCTAGTTCTATTTAGAGATGCCATACCTAATTAAGAGGGAAATCAAGTGTAGCACAAAGGAAAAGGGGCAATGGTGAGGAATAGAGGGCAGGGGAACATCAAAGGCCCACCAAAGATTTTTGTACATGATTTGATGATTGTGATAAAAAATTAAAGATTAGAATACAAGTGTGTTGATGGCATCTAATTAATTAATTTAATTAACATGGGGGTTAAGTAGTGGAGATGATGTGAATGTTACTTTCTTTCCACTAAAAGATGGTTATGTCATCTTTAGAATGATGAATATTGAGGGAGGGAATGACATTTTCAACTCCTAGTTATTATTCTTAGGCATAGGTATAGAACATTTGGTGTTAGATTATATTCATTTGAATCAAATATGAAGTCAATGGATGGGGAATATTTTTTGCTTGGTGTGACTTCTTTTCTCTTTTCATCTTTTGACATTTTTTTTGTAAAATAAATAATAATTTTGGAATGTGGAAAGTGATTTTAAAGCAAAAGAATTAGTTGGCAAGAAATTTGTCTTCATTGATTTTCTCAATATTCTAATAATAATTTTTTTTGTTATATATATATATATATATATATATATATACATATATATCATAAAATAATATATATACATATATATCATAAAATAATATAATTGTTAGATTTCTTCAAACTATTGATGGAACACGAAGCATAAAATCATTTTTAACCGTAGGAGAACTATAGCGATTCACGTTTATTTGACGTTACATAGCAAAAACATCCGCATGTTTAGTGGGCTGACCGCAACGCATGTACATTCGTAGCCCAAGGCTTATAGGCTGTTGCTAGGGCTGCAACAAATGCTGCGAGTGCTTCTACGAATTTTCTTGAAATCTGATTCTTAATCTGAGTTATCAAATACTTCAGGCTTCGTTGAACGAATTCTTCTGTAAATTCTCTGGTGCATGTTGCTTCTCCTATGTTCCTCTGACTGAACTCTCTCTGCTGTTGGTGTTGGGCTCATGTTCTTGTTGAAGACATGTTTCCACGCTCACCACATCTTAAATGATGTTGAATCCAAAAGTGCCCAGAAAATAACCCAAGGAATAGAACGTTCTGCTAAGAAGTGATTAGAGAGAGAGAGAGAGAGAGCACAGTAGGGAACTGTAAAAGAGAGTGTTTCATTATATGGACCCCCTATTTATAGACATAGGTCTTCGTATTACAAAAGTACATATTGGCCCCCTCATCATTGACTTTTCAGAGTAACTTTTTAATAATTATAGAGTTATTAGCATATAATAAGAGCTGAGGACCAATTCGATCGATGATGGCTTGTCGGCCGTCAGATGAGCCTTGACTTATCGATCATCCTGAGGGCTTATCCCGACCAAGAGAAAAATCTTCTGCACGTTTCGTCGATCGCTCAAACAAGACGCCTCCC